ACGTGTGCTCTTCCGATCTAAATGTAGTTGAACTGCTTAATGAGCATTATAAGAAAGAAATGCTTAAAAATAAGCAACAGGAAATAGATACCAATAGAAACCAACTCAAATTAAAAAACCAATTGGTAATTGTATTCATAGACATTTAAAATTTTTAATTATTTGTACTTTTTACTTTTAAATGTTTATTCTTTATACTTTTTAGGCTAAAATGTTGTACCTAAAATTTTTGCAACCATTAGATTATAAAAGACTCATTGGACAGTATCGAGAAAAACATGTTTTACCTATCAAACGGGAATTTAAGCTTACGTACAAAGATGCGTGGGAAAGATTTTTAAGGCGTAATCCTAAAGGAAAAGAATTGGCTATAAAACTTAATAATCACAATATTTCCATAGAAGATGCCTGCAATTTTGCTACAGACCTATATTCAAAAACTTCAGAGATAATTCATTCTGAAATAGAAGATAAAGTATATATTATAAAAGACTTAGAAGGCTGGACAGAAGAGGAACGAAAATTTATCGTGATCATTGCAGAGGAACTACTCGATAAAAAAGATGTGTTTGTTGTAACGACTTCAGAATTTAAGAACATTATTAAAGAAGTAAAATCGGACAACGCAGCGAAAAAATTGTAGGTAGGTATCGAACGTCGAACGTATCTTTATTGAAGGAAAAATTTGCTTCTAGAAAATGTCCTAAAACAGAATTCTAAAAGATGCACTTATTATATATCATTAACTTGTAGAATAATTCATACTTAATAATTAATTGGTTATGAATAACTCTTTCTGTGGCTTTGAATTATATCCATTTTTCATGTGGATTATTAAATTGATGCAAATTTGTGTAATTAAATTAATATTAATAAACAATTTCGTTTGCTTTCTTGCAATACTGCATTTTTGTATTTTCAAGGAAAAGCGCGTTGTGAAATCGAATTATAACAGCGTGTTCTTTGAAATGTAAATTAAAGTTTTATAATTTAGAAATTAATAAGTAGACCGATAATCTAATTGAAAAGCTTTAAAAATTTTCGTGAAAATGACTATTGTGAATGACTATTGATATTTAGTCGAGTTTTGAAAACATATTTGTCGACTTCTCAAACAAGAGACAATTATTTTTACGGCGTATATATCTTTCCGCAGCTAAAGAAAATACATATATATTTGTGTATACCATATTTATCTGTTATATTTGTCTGTTAATGTTATGTTCAATTAAAAATCACTTTTTTTAAAATTATGGTATAAGTAATTAATAGCTATTAACCATAAACATCTCGAATTATCTTGTTTCAGGTGAAAAAATTTTCTTCCTGGAACTATTGATATATGGAACTATTGATATTGACTCGGCCAAAAGCGGTACGACCTTGTGAGCAGTACATATGCACGAATTTTACTTGCGTGATGTCAAAGATGGTCTGCATTATATATTGATAACCAAGTCCGCGTTTCCAACGTTTTGGATCTAAAACGAAATTGGACATTATCGCAATCGCCACGATATAAGTGAATATAGAAGCAATGTCATCAGAAGTGTGTCATCTTACATCGTGTTCCACAAATTGCTCTCGTATGTATATATTTGACAATACCTCCTATTTTTGATGGTGCTTTACGAAGATGTCGAAGGTAGCTTTTAATGCTGGCTCGTCCTAACAAGAAACATTTGTTTTACTATATTTGACTTGAAACTCGTTCAGATAATGATCTAAAATTTAATAAAATGTCTTAAATAACGACCATTTATATCGAACAAAATACTTAAAATTGGAGAATATTGATTAAGGTTTATGTTACGTTATATTATACATATAAATAGTATGATTATTATCGAAAGTAAAAACCATAAAGCTTTATATAGATATGTGGTTTTATTTTTAATTGAAGTTATCTTAATTTTCAAATATAATATTGTGCATGTATTTTATTGTAATTATGTTTACGTAAACTGAAAAACATTTTTAAATATAATCATAAAGCCATGTATATATATTTAAGCAGCGTTTTACCAAGCTTTATATGCAATGACGATAAAAGAAAAAAAAACAAATATTCATGTTATAAGTACATTTTTGATATTTTTTATATTTATTTACGTGCTGTTTCCTTCTTCGTCAGTGCATGAAATTTTCAAAACCAGTTACTATAAAATTAATCTCATCAGTCTCAGATAGATTACCAGTAAATTTCGTGTTCAGAGTGTAAAAACCGGGCAATAATATATTGTTGAAAATAATTTGTTATATGATCATGAACGTACCCCATCGATTTACAAGGTGTTCCGTTATCATTAATAACAAGAGGTTGCGCATATGCACGAAAAGCAAAATGCGGCCGTTATCGTAACGAGTCATTAGGTCGGTCCATGCACCCTCGTATTCGGCATCGGTCAATGGAGCGTTCGCGATGACGTCCGCAGTCTCTCCGGAGAGGCAGCTCTTTAGGTATTGCAGCTTTTGAACCGGCGATATGGATGGTACATCGTGTACCAGCGAGCGAAAAAGATCACGAAAGCTCTCCCACGCGAGATGATCGCCTGAGAACTTAGGTAAGCTCATCTTCGGTAGCTGCATTTGCTTAATGAGCGGTGTCGCGGACGCGTCTGCTGGTTCGACCATCGCAATCTTGGGCGCCAAGTTGGACATCGCGGTAAGGAATTTAGCACGGTTAGAGAGGTAGCTCTCTTCCGAGTTCGAAAACATGTCATTCTTATAATAATTTGTTTTCTCGATTTCCTCGAACGCGACCAGTTTGAAATTTTGCTCTTGGATTCGACTCCAGTATTCGTCCATACGCTCCAACCGTGTCTTAAGCTCGAACTCGGTAATCTTCGCTTGCCCTAGCTTTAGCGTGTTTGTCCACGCGCGGTCCATGTATCCGACCAGGGCCTGTTGTCGAATTAGTTCCTTCATTTGCTTGCTCCTCATGATCGTCCGATGACACGCTCATTTTCGCTGAGTCGGCGGCAAAGGAAAATAAGATAAGTTCAAATTCGCGTCGGTTACCCGAATCGCGCAAGTCGAAGCACGAGTCGCGCGCGTGCACCGCGCATGAACGCGCGAAAGGCGGATCACGTGATCGGCGCGTGGACCGAAGAGTTCGCGCGCGCGCGCGCTCCCGGTATTCAAAGAGGGACGAAGAGTCCGATGCACTCACCTTCCTTTTATTAATTAGAGCAACTTTCGATCCCTTTAGCAGGGCCGGAGGGCTCCCAAGCACACCGCACTGCACTCACGTTCCGATCCAGGAGCGCGCGAAGATCGAACACGCATGCGCGCGCACCGGAAGCAGCGCTCTCGTGCTCACCACGTGGTGAGCGGCGAAAGAAAATCGCGTTTAAAGAAGCGCGTAAAATTTGCGCAAGGCCCGAATCCTCACAAGATTCACTCGCCGCATCCGGCTCGAAGGACCAAATGTTTGCTTCATGGCTCGCCTGCACTGGAAGTGCGGGTTGGAGTCCCTCAGCGAAAGGAGAATGGCCGGAGGCAAAGGATCGGAGTAGCGGTCTCTGGCGCGAATTAACTCTTACGGAGCTCGAATTTTTAGTGTATATTTCACTGTCACAAAGTCACTAATACAGCGGGGCTCATGCAAAGCTGCATGAGCCGTACAACTATATAATTGCTACGCGTACTCGCGCAAGGAAAACAGGGCCGCGAATAAGACTCGCCGGCGAAAGAGTGAGACCTGTTCAGGCGCACAGATCTACAGCTCTCGCAAGATCGACTGCGACTCATTACGCCGCGAATTTTGAGGGGTTTCTCTTCTCCATCCCTCTCCCCCGTCCCCGGCACCCCGCTCAGCTACTCGATCCGCCTAGCGTGGTGTCGGGCCCGGGAGAGATGTCGCCCGTTGAGCGCTCGCGCCAGGGCCATAAGCGCAGTCGCGAACAATTATATAAAAATTAATATTAACATACAACTCTGAACTCCATTATGCATTATCAATTGTTCTCTTCAATAATCGCAGATATAGTAAAACAAAAGTTGATATGAAATTTTTAAAGTTATTGTTAAATATCGGTGGCTTAATACACGAACACGGTATCTTGCATTGATGACGATTATACATATACATATACATATATACGTATATCTATCTATATATATATATATATATATATATATGTATATACAAGTTATGTACAAGCGGGCCGTGCCACAGGTAGCGCGGAGTATCGTAACGAGTAGCGTGGATGGCGGTGGACGCTGTCGCGAACGCAAACGCGGCGAGATGACGCGACGTCACGTGTTATTCTCGTGCCGAAATGACAGTTACCACGTGGTAACTGCCAAATGCCCCGACGACAGTTTCGCGATCGTGTCACGCGGGGGGTTTTCCGGGTCGCCTATCAAGGGCTCTCGGTGTGAGTAACGGCGTTTTACCCAGGAGGCGGATGCCGGGACGCGAGGCGAGTCGACGGCCAAGACACTTGGCTCTGACTCCGAACACGGGGTCTGCGGTGCTGTCGATTCTAGGGCTAGGTCGGATTATCAGGGTCGCCCGCCAGGAAGTCGTGGCGCAGGCAGACACTTTACCCTGGGGCGAGACCCGGGAAGGCAGCGGAAGGAGTTTGCGTTTAGCTGCCGAGAACTTATACTTGGCCGAAGCAAAGACTCTTTGCTTCTCAGCTAATGCTAGGGAGCGGGTATCGTCTGTTCGGTAAAGCGGTCGGAAAGCCGGCAGACGATCAAGTCTCTTAGACTTCTCCTAGATTTCGTTCGGTTTTTTATACCGACGTGATGAGACAAATTAGTTGCTTGAATAATGTATAGGAAACGACTTTTTCAGCTACGCTTCGTAGGAACGATCACGTATCTAGAATAATGGCTCTTTGAAAAAACGCAAAAATATGGTAAACGAAATGCGAATTGTTTGCGCGCATGTGCTTCCAACTACTGTGCACAGTAATTGACAATTTCTTACAGAAGAACGGTAGTACCATACAAGAGGTTCAAATTTTTTATTTTCATTTGAAAAATAATTTTTTTACTACATACAAAATCACTTTCCTTAATGCTGACAAGTCAAATAAAAAAATTTAAGAAATTTCTTTTTTAATTCCAATAGCATGACATTTTTCAAATATCTTTGTACTTTATTCCCTATTGTATTTATTTTCTGCATTATTCACTTATACATATACATTAATTAGATTCTTTATCTAACGAAAAATACAATAGACGCTAACATTAAACGATTATAATGTTGTAAATCATATTAATAAGATTTTTGTCCCTTATCTGTGTCACAGGATCAACTAATATACTAATTAATTCTCAAGAAGCTTATTTTTAATTATTTAACTCAAGGACTCTAAATGTTTGTTATTGAGAACAAAGAATTTACAGTTTAAAATTCAGAAAAGGACGTTTTTTATATCGACATGATCACAAGTCATATGAAATACTTATAGCATCAAATGTTGATATTATCGTCAGTATTGATGTTTTGAGATGACAAAACGACAATCGCAGTTAGGCTGATATATCTCTGACATTAATCGAATCGTGGCAATAATTGTAATTAATCTATTGTAATTATTACGAATTTATTGCATTTTAATCAGCACACAATGTAAATAAATTGTCACTGCAATAGTAATTAAATAAGTATTTTTATCTGTTGTTAATGACAAAAAAGTTTATAAAAATGTTTATAAAATGTCAAATAATTCTAAAAGACAAAACACGATTAAATTTAACTTCATTTCCTCGATTTTTCTTTTCCATAAAATGTAAAATTTTGTTTCCTTAATGTAGTTTTTTTAATATATCGATATACTTCTATTTCTTATTACAATTAGTAATGAATGAAATGAACAGTCGATTTATGCGAAGAAATAAACATCAAGTCATCGCACTGGATTGTCGTACAAATATGCTATGCAAATTTTTTAATTATTGGTGATGTCTTATTTCTTGTTTTAGAGCAAGTCTATAAATCGCGCGGCGTACAATTCATTTTGGTACGAACTGAAGCCTACGGAGAGTAAAATTCTGCTCATACTGATAATGAGATCGCAGAAGGAATTGACAATGACAGCCGGAAAATTCATAGACTTATCTCTAGAGGGTTTTACAAGCGTAAGAATTTTGAAATTTACGTTTTCATTAATGATATCAATGATATGATTATAAATACTTAAATAATTACGAATTTCTTTTAAGCATCACTGTTATCATTTAATTAACAACATTTATTAACCAGCACAATCCTTACATAACAAAGAATTGAATTCTTATTACAATATTTATTTTGTGTAATAACTTTTTCAACATAATTATAAAAGCATGAAATTAATTTGTTAAACAACGAAAGTGACATTACGATTTCTTCTCGTAGATTATAAAGGCATCTGCATCTTATATATCGGTGTTACATGCCATGTATTGAAAATATACACAAAATTTTAAAAATCTTGTACAAAAGACGGATTGTTTTGATGTAATTATCAAATAATTATTTAATAATCATTGCGGTGCAATGAACGTCTCGAATTGAAATCTTAATTTAACTAATGTAGAAAGAGTTAACATAAACAAATATTTAAATACGATGCAAAAATATTTTTTCTATACTTGGCTTTATTCATTTCTCGTTACTTATTTTGCTTTTGGGGATAGAAGTAAGTCCATCAATTAATAAAAAAAAATAAGAAGATATTTATTCCAATTTATAACAAAATAATTTGTAACATACATTGCAAAAAATCGCATAAACACTTCTGCTGAGTAAACAAAACCTATTGATTATATTTTATGTCTATAATAAAATGTTATTTAAAAACACAACACATACAGCACTATAAGATACATATATAAGAAACATGAAATCTCCACTCTTGAACACTGAACACTGAACATTGTACTGTCATGCTTCGCGCATCAAGTCTGTCAAAGATATTTGACTTCCACCCCTTCTCATAAAGTTCTTCATTTTACTTTCGATTATAATTCTGTAGCACCACGATGCATAAACTTATCCACGAATATCATTTTAAGTTATTACGTGTTACTTACGTTTATTTTTCCATATTTTACTCATTTGTCGTTTTTATACACGTTTCGTCTGTTTTTTCTTAAACTTCTAAATGACGTTATAATTGTTCTCATCACTTAAAAATATATAAAGTAGTATTTATCTTGCTGTGTTTATCATTTGCAGCATACGAAGTTTTATTGAATTGCTTATCGAAATTCTCTTGTTTAGGGTAAATGTCGATCATATCAATTCTATTTACTGCATTTACTATGCATTTCGACCGATCTTTCGCGAAAATTCAGCACATGCTCGGGAACTTATGTTCGCTATTTTGTTCAGAAACTTCTCTTGACAAGGGTCACTCTGGCAATCTTGTAATAACGCGCTGTAACTTTTCCCTATTTTCTTGCATTTTTAAAGTAAATCACCCGCAATAACGATGTCGGCGATTTTCCCGTTACGGAAGTTACCAAATAGCGCTCTCGTCGATTCTTTGCCCGTCGAGGTCTGTAATCATCGTTCGATCGTAGCAACTTTTTTCTGCATTCCTAAGTACATGATAAAAATACACGTCTAGCGTTTGCAATTGGTCGGTGGCCGTTAAAGTGGGGCGGGATCCGATCTTCATGTTAATATCTTGAAGCTTATCCTTCAGCGAGTACGTGCAGCGATCGTACGCGGAAGACCTGTCAGAAATTTATTTTTCGTTTCGTAAAAACGTGAAATTTTATGCGCGATGATACCGACCAGTACTGTCAGTCGACCGGTCGAAATCGGCCTCCGTCTTACTGGAATATGGCCGAATTCTTCAATTTTCTTTAAACTGCTTTGGACGTTGGTGATGGGAATCGGGCTGATCTTCCAGTATCATTATCTTCTGACACACTTCAGCACCAAGCAGCTGCCAAATCTGATAGACGGTTTAAGCACCACCTTGCCGCACAGCCTCCTTTTCTTTAAGCTGATTGTCCTGTGGGTCAATAACCGGTACGTGTTTCCTACAACATTATAATAATTTTGGAAAATGTCATATTTTCATCGCGGATCAAGTAATAATACATGAAATTTGTTGATTGCCAAGCAAAATTGTTTTTAAGTGTTCTGCAATTTAATGTTTAGTTTCGGGTTACCTGAAAAGACATATACATATATTTTATGTTATAAACATAATATAAATATAATGAACAATAATTATAATTTGAACTAGAATATGTAAATACACATTAAATTTGAGAGCGCCTTCAATGATCACGGCTGGATTTTGGTGCCTAATAATTTTTACACATGTGAAATTCTTAATTCCATTATTTAGCTGTTTTAAATAAATATAATGATTTTTTAATTGCGTGTATTAATAATACAGCGCAGCAATTTGAAGACATGTGATACTTAGAAATTTATATTTTTGATCTAGAAGAATGAGCTAGAAAACTAGCTTGGTAATTGACTTAATTCGTTTCTCTTCTTTTCGCGAAAGCGCATTTTCCCCGCAACGTCGTGAATATAGATCGATGTTGCAAAATGCATTGCGAATTGTTACATTGTAGAATATTCGACGATGTCCTGATGGCGATGTCCAACGACTGGCACGAGTATTCCAACATGTACGCCATGATCGACAAAGCAGTTCTCGCACATCGCTGCTCGAAATTGATCATCGGTGTTTACTCGACAGCAGTGTTGCTTTACAGTACCGCGTCCATCAACTTTAGTACAAAGACCGACGACGATTGCCGGGAGTTATTGATAAAGATGGAATTGCCCTTCGAATTCTGTGAATCGCCAATGTACGAGATCGTGATGTGGGTGCAATTCTTTCGTCTAATGGCGGTGGCCTCTGCCATAGGTATGCTGGATGCATTGTTGGTTACATTGGTGAGTTGCGATTGATTATATACTATTATTTTTTACGTTATAACTCACTGAAATATTATTTCTAATTTTAGAATATAAATGAAAAATTCTTAATATTAAAAAGAAATAATTCTGTTTATTAATAAGAATTTTATTACTAATAATTAATAAATAAGAAGTAATTCCTGTTACTCTTACCGCTGTAAAACAAAAAACGCATTATTAAACAAGAAGATTATCTCTACTAAAGAATTTGATAGACAGAGATCATAATAATAAATAATTAGAAATATGTACACGTGTAGAGATATTGTGTGTATATTCGTGTGATAGATTCCTAGAGAAACTGTACGTGTTTTGAAAATTGTTTTAGTACTGTTTCGATTAACATCCTTCGAGAAGAAAAGAAATTTAAGAAGATGACAATTTTAAAAGAGTAGAAAGATTATATTACATATAAGTTATTAATAATTAAATAAATCAACACAATGCTTTAATTTCTTTAAAAAGTAACAAAATCAAATCAAAGTATCAATCAAATTAAATAAACAATTGTGCAAAGAATTTTCAATTTTTCAATCAAAAATTTCCAAAAAATACAACTCAATATTTATTTAAATCGTGATTTGTGCACGACGCGCGAAGATGAAGAAAGCCACTGAAGAAAAAATTGCATGAAAGACGAATTGTGCACGAATAGAAGCTAAAGTCGAGTGGTACGACACAAAGCGCAGGCGCAAGTGATAATACAAGTGTCATGCGTGAGACGTTACGAGACCGACAGATTCTTGATCCCCAGCGATCGATGCCCTCACCGTCATCCCTTCTTTTATAATGCGTCAGGTTCGCGTGCCTGCGATTCGTTCGCATTTTCGATCTACGATCCATGCGCATGCGAACGTAATGTCGGGCTAACGTCCCGCACATTAGGTTCCGCGCTTGGGTGAGGCGGTCCCGCTTCCGGTTGCTTCACGTTTCATATCGCAAGGTGGACAAGACCATGTTTCGCCTCGTTCGGCTTTATCGTGGGCCGGCTGACGTTTCCATTTATACGTTAGTACCTAAAAGAAGTGTGAAACAGTCAGCTTGACCATCTGTTCCCTTTCGATTCCTTTTTAGGCCGCTTATATACGCATGCATGCATACGCATGCATGATGCATAATTCTTTTCTTTTATTTGATATATCGATGAATACATATGCTTAGTACGGTTTAAATTATTTGAAAGAGAAAAGAATGTGTTTACGCAATATTTGTTGACACAGTTCAAGCATACTTTTATTTAGCAGCCATGTAACTGAATGATCAACGATGTACAGATGCTGCACATTGGCGGGCAAATAGACATCATGCAACAGGAAATGGAAGAGATTTGCCACAAGGATGACAAAAATGATTTACCCATTACTGTTGTGAGATCCTTAATTAATAAGCATCATAAAATTATCGCTTTCTCGGAGAGCATCGAAAGACTCTTCTCTCAAATTGCGCTGATGCAATTTTTCTCGAATACAATAATCATATGTTGCATCGGATTCCTCATAGTAACCGTAAGTATCTGAGATCTGCAAGCGTTCGTTTGAAATTTCGTTTCCTAAATGCATATTTAAAATTCTCCCAGTGCACAAATCATTATGTTTTACGAAAGCTATTACACGCGAAGATATTATCTGAAAATGATATCTATGCATACGTACATCTGCACGTGGACTTTTATACTAAATCGGAAACAAATGACAATATAAACTTTTAATTTTATTTCTAGACGCGTGTGTGAAGTTAGTGTGTTGCACTAACATTAAAATTTCATGGTTCTGCTCAGAGTTCCCGTTTCATGTTGAAGAGACAAAGAGTTTCTTATAGTTTATAATAAGCCGCTCAGAATTATTCGAGTATGAATTTTGATAAAAAGTTAGTTATTTTTTAAATTTAAAATAACAATTGTTATTAAGCAGAACTTTTATAAACTATAGAGAAAACTCTTCGTCTCTTCACAATGAAGCGCGCGGGAATTTTAATCAGAACTATGGAATTTTAAAGTTGGGATGCTAACTTTACACACGCTTTCTAGACGTAGTTATTTATACGTTGCATGTGTTGCACATATTTTAGTTTGGAGGGTTTAATGTTATTCAATAACAATGGTCAGTTTCACATGCTCGCTCAAACCGTATAGCAGACTCCTCCTGTGAATCTCCATTAGCCACAAGCAGAGAATAAAAAGAATTTCTTGTAAATGTATTGGCATGACTTTGAGCTCTTCAGTCATCTTTCAGTCTGTTAGAAAGCTATGCGACTGGCCGAATATCCTTTTATCTTCAAATAATGCCCTTTGTGGCCCACGTGAATTGCACGATGTTGGGAGATAATCGCTTAATGTCCGCGCGTCTGAAATCTCCGTCTTATAGGAATTGTCGAACCATTTTCCTGATCATTTTCTCGACTTACAGTCGTTGGGCACAGATGAAGGGATTTTGATGTTAGTGAAGACCCTGTTTTTTTACATTGCCATCACTTTGGAGGCGTTTATCTTCTGCTTCGCCGGTGAATATTTGAGTAATAAGGTGAGTAGCTCCGAAATTGTTTGTCGGTTTATCCTTTTTTTAAGGATGTGCAAGGCTGTTAAAAAGATTATTAGACCGCATTGCTGATAAAAAGATTGGATCGATATACGGAGACGTTGCTCGTGTGAAAATGAAGCATTGCGTACGAGACTGCGTCTCGTATTTTCGCGTGCACTTGTCTCTCATTTTTACATTTTAGAGCAAAACGATCGGCGATGCTGTATATAAATCTGTTTGGTATACTCTCAAGCCTCGGGATTCCCGCGTTCTATTATTTGTGATAATGAGATCGCAAAGACGGCTGACCATCACTGCAGGGAAGTTTATGGATTTATCGCTGGAAGGATTCGCAAATGTAAGATTTTTATAATAAAATTGTGAATTTTTTATGGCCAGTTTTATGTAGGTTTTTTATGGCTACATAAGTTAACAACTTTGCTACAATACGCGTTAATCTATATATTCGCGTTTGTCTATATATTGTTGTTTTTATTATAAGAAGAGAGAGTGTAAGAATTATTTTATATTTCATGTTTGATCCTGTTATTGATATCATATTGTTAACGGGATCAAAATTATCTATTGGTGTTTATCTCTAAATGTATGAATAAAATATAAAAATTAATTTAATACTTTTGTAAACAGGACAACAGTTTATGGATAAGTATAATTGACAATATATCATGTGAAAGCCATTTTATTTCATCCTTATTTCATGCTATAATAATAATTATTAAGTAAAAAGTAATTTAGTAATTATTTTAGTAATTATTAAGTAAAAATAATTTATATCACTCATTATGATATAAATTGTTTGTAATAATGTTTTATTTTATTGATTTATTTTATACACAGTAAACTGATTTATTGTTTATATATTATTTAATTTTTCAGAGTTTGAAAGCCTCCGCGTCATATATATCTGTTTTATACGCAATGTATTGATGTCGAAAAAATTTACTGTGTATTCTTGCTGCGAGAAAGTCAAAGTATTATTCGCGCCTTTCTATAAATTAATTGTAACAATTTAATAACACACATTGTGGCTACAATCCTAAATACAATCCTAAAAATGTATTAACTGTTTTCTTTTATTATAATATTTTAGTTGATAGAAAAATCATCTCTCTTGTATTATTCAAGCCACTAATTTTTCCCACTTTTGACAGAATAAGACAATCATTATATATTGCGATCGTGCGCCGTAATTATCGCTCGATCGCTGCAATTTTATTCCCCTGTAATATGTCCCGTGTAAACCACCATAACTTTTGTTCTCAGTTGGTTGCAATCGGTGATTACCTCTGCGGCTGCGTTTAGTCTGCGACCCTTGCGTGATCAATTTGCCGCTGTAGAGTCGTTTTAGAATCGTACGCATGGCCATTGGCATTGTGGTCCGTGGCTTTATGACGTTATAACAGTGTCGACAAGTTAAATTTTGGGTATCGCAGTTGTCGAATTCTTGGCCAAACTTCACGCAATAGTAAATATAAATTGATATCCTGTTATTGGTAGGATAGAATTTCCTTTTCAAATTTACCCTGAAAATCATGTTAATCGTTGGACAACATAGTGTTTTGACAAATTTTATGTGATTTTCTTTGTTTTTTTTATTGTACGCTATAATAAATTTGCCATAGTATATCTTAAAAAAAATAGTAAAAATTATATAAAATTCGTCGATATACTATGTTATCCCACGATTAACATGATTTTCAGGGTGAATTTTAAAATAAAATTCTCTCCGTATATACAAATACAATACTTTTGTATAAAGTGCCAGGTGTCAGCGTGATAAAAAAATGACGGCTACAAGTACTATTGTTCTTTCGGCACAAATCGATCTTCAATTTATCAGGATTTGGCCTAATGTGCCGTATCTGATGTTATTTCGGTGTTTGGATACAGATTTGTCAGTACTGATAGACTATGCATTATTTTGGAATGAACATGTCGCATCTAATGATTTAAATATCATCATGAAATACAGCGTGATGTTCCTAAAATTGATTATTTTATAATTTTTTTAATAGACTCATCAAGAGAATATTTTCGGTAAGAATCCAATTCTTTTTACAATATTTTATGCTAACTTTTTCCGCATGATTATAAAAGCGTGAGATTTAATTGTTAAACAACGATTAGTTTTTAAGAACACAGCACACACACAGCACTAGATATATAAAGCAACTTCAAATCTCCGCTCTCGAACACTGAACACAGAACACTGCGTCATGCTTCGCGCATCGGTTGTGTCGACGACATCCGACTCCCTCTCTTACGAACTTATCCATCTTACTTTCGATTATAACTCTCCATAGCGCATCACGATGCACAAGCTTACCCGAAATGCGCCTTTTGCATTTTTAAAGCAAATAATATTGCGATTGCACACCCGGGGACATCCGACGTGGAGGCGCACGAAACTTATTACCTATGATTTATATTTTTCCCTTCGGCAGACCTGAAATCATAGTCGTGTAGTTTTCCGCTCTTATAATATACCACGTGTATGTGCGATGAATAATTTCTATCGGTCGACGATCACCGGATTCGTACTTGGTCGATGAACCCTCCTGGAATCCTCGAAGATTACTCGACGTTGCGTGGCAAGTGGTGAGATTTCTACCGTCGTACCAAACTACTAGTAATAATGTGGTAACTTTTCGACGACTCCTATTAAGGGAGGCATTAAGAGGAGCTTACACTGTCAAACGTGCAGGATACGGTCGTCCTACTAATCGTTAAGTTAACGTGAAATGGGTCTCACGACTACGGTGAGCTCGCCGGTCGAGTTCGGGCTGCGCGCTATCGGGATTTGGCCGGGGGCATCTCGCAGCATCTTATACCGGACTTTCTGGACGATCTCCTTGGGCCTCGCTCAAACATTCCAATTTAGATACATCGCCGGCTGCATCGAAACTGCTAACTTTCTCGATCTGGTGGACAGCGTCAGCACCACGCTGCCTTACAGTCTGCTCTGTTTGAAGCTGGTTATCCTCTGGCAGAATCAGAAGTAAAAAATTTCGTTACGTAGTTTAATACAAGCTGAATTTTTTTTACAAATATTATCATCAAATAGTTATTTATCAGAGTGCATCTTTTTTTTAAGGTAGAAAATTAACGGATTAAGAGTAATTAAAAACTATTTACCTTGTTTTCGCGCACGTATACATAGGAAATTTGCGTGCCCAAGTAACATATTGATTTATATACATTTTATATAATTATTGATATGTTTTCTAAATGTATCTAATGTTTTATAAACACTTTTATAAATACTTAGAAAACGTATATAAAATCGGTTGTGTTACTAGGACAGTTACAGTTTTCTTTTATTTTGCAATTTACAGTTAGAACTAATCTCATTACGTACATACATGTGTATATGATGGTGACAATCTTTTCAGATTATTTAATGAAATTTTGACATCAATGTCGCGAGATTGGTGCAACTGCGGCGACGTCGACTTCAACATGCGCACCATGACAAATAAAGCAATTCTTTCTCATCGTTGTTCATTGTTGATTATTGGAGTATATTCATTGGCCGTTGTAATGTATGTTTCCGTCATAATGGAACTTAATAACATCGATAACGGATCCAGCAAAGGAGAGAAACAGCTTTTTCTTAAAATGAAATTTCCCTTCGTTTACGAATTTTCTCCTGTTTGGGAAATCGTAATGTTTGTTCAATTTTTACAGCTGTTGAGCAACGCCTCGGTAATTGGGATGCTGGATGCACTGATCATAACATTGGTAAGTTTTTGATGTGTTTTCGAGAAGAGCAGTAAAAATTTAGTAGCGTAAATGCGATGATTCTAATCTATTTTGTATTTGAAAATCAATGTTGAAAGTCTCAATTAATTTGATTAGATATTTAAAATTTACATACTGACGTGCTGACTAGAGGTCGTATCACCGTAAAAATTTGCTAGTTAATTGTTTCTTACAAAAATTTTATCAGTTTTTATAATACGATTTATTGGACGTTTAGATATTTCATACAAGCGGACAGATAGATATTGTATGTCGTGGGTTGCTTGAACTTTTTTCAAAGGACTGCAAATATAAATCGTATAAGGACGCAAAGAGCGCTATTATCCGCAGGCATCAAAGTGTCATTGCGTTCTCAGATAATATCGAGAATCTTCTCTCTTACATTGCGCTAATGCAGTTTGTTACGAACACACTTGTCATATGTGGCATAGCATTCGTGATCGTCATAGTGAGTCTCTTTTGTAAATATCTCGCGTCAAATAAGTAATATATAAACGTAAACGAGTTATAAACATTTAATATGTACGTACAGCATAAACATTTTTTCAATATTTCAGTCGATAGAAAGTGGCAGAGGATATGCCATATTATTGAAATCCTTATTCTTTTACATTGCTATCACTTTGGAGGCATTTATCTTTTGCTTTGCTGGAGAATATCTCAGCAATAAGGTTTAAATTAAATTTGCCATAAATATATAAAAATATATTTTTACTTTAAACATGTGCGCGCGCGCACCTCCCCTCCCCGCACGCACGCATACACACGCACAGATAATTCTTTTATTATACGAATCTTTCAGCATGGTAATATAATCTTCAGGAAACAAATTTTTTTCATAATATACATATATCTGCTTAAATATTTTATCTTTATTGCTACTTCTTTTCTCTTTTATTTTTACAGAGCAAGTCAATCGCAAATGCAGCTTATGAGACTCTTTGGTATAATGCGAAACCCAGCGAAAGTCGAATTTTATTGATTCTAATATTGAGATCGCAGAAACGACTGACTTTAACAATCGGGAAATTTAACGATTTGTCTTTGGAAGTTTTTGCGAATGTAAGATATAAAAATGTTGTCTTCTGGACACAGGATGTTCTTTCTAATATAATATATAAAATACTACATTTCAGATACTGAAAGCTTCTGCTTCTTACGTATCGGTGCTACTTGCAATGTCTTGATCAACAAAAAGATATCAATTACGAAGTCTGCATAAACATGTACACATATTTGCATATTATATACGTATATTATATTATTTTAAGTCATTATGTGCTACGTGAATATTTTTTCTCATATTTTATCACTTGTCGTTTTCGTACACGTTCCGCTTATCTCTTCATAAACTTCGAGAACGAGACGTAAAGATGTACACGTTATAATTGTTCTCATCACTTAAAAATATATAAAGCAGTATTTCTCTTGCTGTGTTTATCATTTGCATCATACAAAGTTCTGTTAAATTGCTTATCGAAATACTTTTGTCCGAGATGAATGTTAATCCATTTACACATATAAATATTATTATATATAGCGAAGTATTATATTATCAACTTTAGACTCCCGATCCGCATTCACTTCAAATCGTGCACATCCGAACCGAAATTACATGTCAAAATAATTTATTTTTGGCTGTTGCATTTTCTTATGCATCTCAAACGACTAGTCGCGCAAATTCAGTACCATTTTCGGGAACTTATGTCTGTTACTTTCTTCAGAAACTTCCCTTGACGATGGTCATTGCGGCGATCTTTGCTCTTGTACTGTCACGCTGCAACTTTTTCCCTGTTTCCTTGCATTTTTAAAGCAAATCACCCGCAATAACGGCGACAGGCGGTTTTCCTATTCCGGAAGTTACCAAATAGCACTCTCGTCGATTCTTCGCTCGTCGAGGGCTGCAATCATTGTTCGATCGTAGTAATTTTTTTCTGCATTCCTAAGCACATGACGAAAATACACGTCTAACGTTCGCGATTGGTCGGTGGACGTTAAGGTGGGGCCGTATCTTCGTGTTAACATCTCGAAGCTCATCCTTCAACGAGTACGTGAAGCGACCGTACGCGAAGCCTCGTCAGGAACTTACGCTCGTTTCGTTCGGCTCTGTCAATAGAGTGAGCAAAAAACGTGGACAGTTTTATACGCGATGTATCCGACCAGTACTGTCAGTCGACCGGTCGAAATCGGTCTCCGACTTACTGGGATATGGCCGGACTCTTCGATTTTCTTCAGACTGCTTTGGACGTTGGTGATGGGAACAGGGCTGATCTTCCAGTATCATTACCTTCTCATACACTTTAGCACCAAGGAGCTGCCGAATCTCATTGACGGTTTAAGTACCACCTTGCCGTACAATCTCCTTTTCATCAAGCTGGTTGTCCTATGGGTTAATAACCGGTACGTTCCTGCAACATTGTAATAATTTTAGGAAGTGTGCTATTTTCATGTTAAATTAAGAAAAGAATAATGATACGAGTAATACGTTGATTGTCAAGCAAGATCGTTTTAAAGTTTTTTGCAATTTAAAGCGCTTATTTTTCGGGTTATCTATAATATAAAAACGAAATTAAAACCCTAAAAACAGGTTACATAAAAAGATTTTATGTTATAAACATAATGTAAATGTTATAATTTTTTTACTGCGTATTGATAATACAGTGCAGCAATTCGAATTAAGGCAGCCAGAATTTTCTGTTTTTGATGAAGAGGAAAGAGAAGAGCTTGGCAATCGATTTCGGCTTTTTCTTCAGCTCTTTGCGAGCTGATAAAAGCATATTTTCCACGACACGCCGTAAATATAGATCGGTGTTGCAACGCGTTGCGAAGTATTATATTGCAGAATATTCATCGACATCCTGACGGCGATGTCCAACGACTGGCACGAGTATCCCAACATGTACGCTATGATCGACAAGGCGGTCCTCGCGCATCGCTGCTCGAAATTGACCATCGGTGTTTACTCGACAGCGGTGATGCTTTACAGTACCGCGTCCATCAACTTTCGCAAGCAGACCGACGATGATTGCCGAGAGATGCTGATAAAGATGGAGTTACCCTTCGAATTCTGTGAATCACCAATCTATGAGATCGTGACGTGCGTGCAATTCGTTCACCTGATGGCTGTGGCTTCCGCCATAGGTATGCTTGACGCATTAATGGTTACATTGGTGAGTTGCAATCGATATTTACAATTTTTTCTTGCGCGTTGCAATTATTACTATTTCCATAATTTTATAATGCATGAGTATTTTTTAATAATAAAAGAAATAATTCTTTTTATTATTTTATTATTAGTAAAGAAGTAATTTCTCTTTCTCCGCTGTAAAATAAAAATGTAGTATCAAACAAGAAGATAACTCTACTGGATTTAATAGACGGATTTAATAATAAAGATTATTATAATAAACAAATATTGAGCACGTATATTAAATATTCTGTATTCATGTGTTATTTCTAAGAAAACTGTGTTTTGAAAATCTTTGTTTTTTTCCGATTAATATCCTTCGAGAATAAAAAGTTCTAGAAAATGATAATTTTAAAAGATGAAAAAGATTATATAAATATAAGTAACTAATAATTAATTAAATCAATGCTTTAATTTCTTTAAAAGGTAATAAAAATATTAATCAATAACTAAACAAACAATTGTGCCATGAATTATTGACCAAAATGATATTGAAAAAAAAAATCGATACAATATTGTATTTTTTAATTAAATCGCGATGAGTATAAATAGCACTGATGAAAAGACAAAAGGAAAGACAGGTGAACAGAAGCTATACCAAATAACACAAAGCGCAGGCGCAAGTGATAACATACGTGTCATGCGTGAGGCGTTTCGACCGATAGATTCTTGATCTTGATGTAGGGACGATCGATGCCTCAACTTTGTTCCCTCTTTTACTTGAGTCCATTGAAGAGGGAGACTCGCGACCCTGCGGTTTGTTCGCGTTATCGATCTACGATCCATGTACATGCGAACGTTACGTTGGTATTTACGTTAGATTCCGCGCTTGGGTAGGAATTTGGCCCCCGCTTCCGGCTGCTTCACGTCTCATATCGCAAGGTGGACAAGACCTTATGATCACATTTCTCTTTGTTCTGATATTTTACCACGGGCCGGCTGGCGTTTCCATTTATTTCAAAGACGTTAACACCTAAAAGAAGTTTGAAACAGTCAGCTTGGCCATCTGTTCCCTTTCGGTTCCTTTTTTAAGCCGCGTATATATGGTTGCATATAATACGCATGCATATTTCTTTTCTTTTATTTAATATACTGATAAATACGTATGCTTAGTATAGTTAAAGTTACATGAAAGATAAATGATCGTGGTTATGCAATATTTTTCGACATAGTTGAAGTATACTTAGGTATATATTTTTGTTTAGCAGCCATGTAACTGAATAATTATTAACATTATACAGATGCTGCACATTGGTGGACAAATAGATATTATGCAACAAGAAGTGGAAAAGATTTGCCCGAAGGATAACGAATATGATTTGCCCACTGCCTTTGTGAGATCCTTGATCAATAAGCATAATAAAATTATCGCTTTCTCGGACAGCATTGAGAGTCTTTTCTCTCACATCGCGCTGATGCAATTCTTTTCGAATACGTTGATCATATGTTGCATCGGATTCCTCATAGTAACTGTAAGTATATCCGAGATCTTCAAGCGTTCGTTTGAAATTTTGTTTTTTAAATGCATATTTAAAATTCTCTCAATGCACAAATCATTATACTTTACAAAAATTACGATGTCAAAGATATGTTTAAAGATGATATCTGTACATACATCTACACAGGCATATTGGAATTTTATACACCTTATCAGAAAAAATTAATCAGGTTTTAATCTTATTTTTTGTTGTAGTTATTTACACGTCTTATCTGTTGTACATATTTTTGTTTCGAGTACTTCATCACCCAAAAAAAATATTCTAGTTATAAAGTGAAATTTCCTCTAATCCCATATTCTAAGCGAAAACTTTTACAGAAAGAATATTCCTCTTCAAATAAAGTGAACTGTTCATCTATAAAATCTATTAGATATTATTTTTCGGTTTTCCTCTTGTATTAAGAGGAATATGTTTATTTCAAGCGGAATGTCCTCTTACGTGCAATATTAGTAATACGTAGTAGTAATAAAGCAAAGTGTATCGCTGCGTTCTGTCGTGACGATTCATGATTAAAGTGTTGCGCTGCAATTGCGAAAACAGACGCAGTAAGGCTGCGTTCCGTTATTCATTGTAAATATTGAAAAACTACAGTAGAAATAATGTGAATTATAAATATAGATTTACAGTACAAGATTTGTAAATGCAAGACGAAATTATTCTAATTATTAGAATATTGTGCACAGAATATTTTCCTCTTAATTTCAGAGGATACCTCTTGAAGCCATATACAATAATAAAATTCTTTAAGATTTAGCGGATTCCACTAACATTAAAATTATTTTTTTTTTGGGTGATGGTATTCAAAATAGCAGAGATCTTAGACTTATTCATATTCACTCAAATTGCATGCATAAACACGAATCTCCACTCAAACCGCAAGCAAAAAATAAGTAAAAAGATTTCTATAAATGTATTGGCATGACTTCGATCTCTTCAAAGAGCTATCTACCTGGTGTCTGTGAAGTTAGCACATTTTGTTAATTTTTAAAAAATAATAATAGCACTTTCCAAGTTTTACCGTTTCTGATAAATATTAAAAAATGTTCCGCATTTTTATACCAGTACCAAAAAAATTAAAATTAAGAATGACATGCTAAGCACGGCACATCTCCCTCTAATGTATTATATTCTATCAAATATTACGACATCTGTCAAGTGTTCCCGTTAATTCTAAGTTAATTTCATAATTATACATATGGCGTTTAAAGACAAAAGTGCAACAATTAATCGTTTTTACATAATCCTGAGTATCTATGGTAGCCGATATTCGACGGAAAGGTGTCCTGTTGACAATTTTCGATTTTGACGATAGTTCTGATGACTTGTTTCGATCAAGTTCCACGCGAGTGAATCATTTTCAAAAGTTGTTCCGCTTTATAAACATTTTTTAAACAATTTTTACTTTTCCCGCCAGCATGGCACTCGATAGAAATGTGTTGTGCTGATAATTTTTTTTCGACACCGGATATCCTCGATCTTCTTTATTTTCACACAAGACCGGCCATTGTGGCCCCCGTGAGCGAATTGCACGATAGGCACGATGGTGAGAGATGACCGCTTGTTGTCCGCGCTTCTGAGATCTCTGCCTTGTAGCGATCATCGAACTGTCTTTCTGACCGTTTTCTTGACTTGCAGTCTTTGGGCACAGGTGAAGGCATCAGGATGTTAGTGAAGACCCTGTTTTTTTATATTGCTATTACTTTGGAGGCGTTTATCTTCTGTTTCGCTGGTGAATATTTGAGTAATAAGGTGAGTAGCCCCGAAATTATTTGTCGGTTTAAAAAGATTGTCTTTTTTAATAAAAAGATCATCAGGTTGCGTTGCCGATAAAAAGATTGGACCGATACAGAGAGATTGCTCGCGTGAAAATGAAGCACTGCGTACACGGAAAGAACAATTTTGCTGAATCCAGATCTGAAAATAATTTTTGTTCAATAATAAAAATAATTTTGTGCAAAAGTCAAAGTGATTGCTAAAATATCAAAATGTTTTATAGCAATTCTTATCAGCTTTAACATATCAACAAATTATTTTGATGATTCAACAAAAAATTATTTTCAGATCTGTTTTTAGCAAGATTTTTAAACCTTTCAATAAAATCGTTCTTTCCGTGTACGTTTTTTCGCATGTTCGTCATTCACTGTTCATCATTCACATTTTAGAGCCAAACGATCGGCAATGCTGTATATGAATCTGTTTGGTATACTCTCAAGCCTCGGGATTGCCGTATTTTACTATTTGTAATAATGAGATCGCAAAGACGGTTGACGATCACTGCGGGAAAGTTTTTGGATTTATCGCTGGAAGGATTTACAAACGTAAGATTTCAATAATAGAGTTATTGAATTTTTTTTTATCGGTACACATATGAATTAATAACAATCATTTACGTTGTAATATATGTTCGGTCTCCATTATGTTTATACGTTATGTCTATGTTAGATGAATATAATGTCATTTTTATTATGAGAGGTGTGGTAAGAATAATTTTATATTTCACATATGATATCCAATTTACTTTAAGGCTCTGTTTACGGATTTAAATTAGCCATTTGTTTGTATCTGTAAATGTGCGAATATATTATAAGAAAAACTTAATACCATTTTAAACAGGACTATAATAAATTAAAGAGTACAGTTGACAGTAGATATATCACGTGAAAGCCATTTTACATCTCACATTTATTACGTACTATATGTAATTACTGTTAAAAAAATAAGTAAATATAATTTATATTATTTACATCGTTTTCAATGATTATAATTTTTTTTATTATATGCGCAACAAACTGATTTATTGCATATTACTCAATTTTTCAGAGTTTGAAAGCCTCCGCGTCGTATATATCTGTTTTATATGCAATGTATTGATGCTGAAGGAACTGTGTATACACGCTGTGAGAAAGTCACAGTATTATTTATTACCTTTTCTATAAATTAATTGTAATTATTTAATAAACGTCGTGGATATAAATCAAAAAGCATAAATTATTGTAAACAATAGTTAAGATAAAAAGCCAAAGACGAGCGAAATAAAAATATCATTTCATGTTCCATGGAAAGGTTTTCTTGCTGAGAACATGAGGTGATATTTTTTCGCAATAAATATCTTTACAGATTCGGGGGGAGTAGGTCCTATAGATGCAAGTTAGCATTTATTTGGGTCGCGACGGGGAGGGGGGTAATTTATTAGATGCAAGCGAGCATCGGTACTCATTAAATTGTTTAACAGCGTGATGATACAGTTCTATTTCAATCAAAGCTGCGTTGAATCCGAAAGTAACGGTACGCAGTTCGTTGAAGCTAGAGTATGTAAAATCACATAGTTATATTGAATATTAACTGACACCTGTATTTCGCTCGTCTTTGGCCTCTTATTCCGACTATTATTTACAATAACGAACTGGTAATTTATTTATTTATAAACTATTTTCTTTCACTAAATGTATTTCAGTTGATCCTATGACACAGATAAGGGATAAAAATCTTATTAATATGATTTACAACATTATAGTTACGTTATTTAATGTTAGCGTATATCGTGTATTTCTCGTTAGATAAAGGATTTAAGTGATGTATATGTATAAGCGGATAATACAGAAAATAAATACAATAGGGGATATAAAAGTACAAAAATATTTGAAAATTGTCATGCTATTAGAATTAAGAATTTCTTAAATTTTTTCTTGTCAGCATAAAGGAAAATGATTTTGTATGTAGTAAAAAAAAATATTTTTCAAATGAAAATTAAAAATTTGGAGATCTTGTATAGTACTACCGTTCTTCTGTAAGAAATTGTCACTTACTGTGTGCGGTTGGAAGCACATGCGCGCAAACAATTCGCGTTTCTTCTACCATATTTTTGCGTTTTTTCAAAGAGCCATTATTCTAGATACGTGCTCGCTCCCACGAAGCGTAGATGAAAAAGCTGTTTCCTACATTATTCAAGCAACTAATTTGTCCCATCGGCGACATTTTTTACGATAAAATAAGGCAATCATTGTATACCGTTCGTAATCATCGCTCAATCGTTGCAACTTTAATCCCCTGTGTCTCATGTAAATGACCATAACTTCTGTTCTCAGTTGGATGCAATTGATCGGTGATTACTTCTATGGCTGCGTTTAGTCGGCGAGCCTTGCGTGATCAAGTTGCTGCTCTAGAGTCGTTTTAGAATCGTACGCAGCATTGTAGTCCGGTATTGTAGTCTGTGGCTTTACAATAGCAGTGTTGACAAGTATATCTCAAGTTACAATTTCGGATAACACACGTGTCGAATTTTTGACCGCAAACTTTACGTAATACGTACAAATTAATATACCGGTATTGGAATACTTTGATATAAAGTGCCAGGACGCGATAAAATGACGGCTTCAAGCACTGTTGCTCTTTCGGTGCAAATTGGTCTTCGGTTTGTTGGGATTTGGCCTAATGCACCGTATGCGCTGTTGTTTCGAGGTGTTTGGATACTGACCACCGGCATAGTACAGACTTTCCAATACTGGTGGATCATTATTCACTTCGGAACCGACGACATGTCGCATTTGATGGATGGTTTGAGTGTTACTATGGAGTATAGCGTGATGTTCCTGAAACTAATTATTCTGTGGTTAAATAGTCGGTAAGAGAATATTTCTCAACTCGAAGATGAGAATCGAGTTGATTTGTACAGCTTATTCGTTCCTAAAAGTGACGATCTTCATAGCAATATTGTTTCTCTTTTTAATAGAAATCTTATGTCTTTTATTTCATCTTTTCAAGTTTTATATTTCAAAATATAAATAAGAAAGAAGATACCTACAATAATAAATTTAATCCAGATTTAAATGTGATTATCTGTAATCTTGTTGATTTTTATTATGGCGATAACAACCATCGCTATTTTATTGCAATAATATTCAACTATAATCGAGTTTATTGCTGTCGCTTAATCATATTTATTGCTATATTTTCTGCTGTATCACTAAATGTATTATACTTAAAAATCACACCTGTTCCTTCCTGGGATCTATCTTCTTCCATTGCTTTTATTGTGTTCCCATCTTAGTGCAAATCGTGTTTTCATACACTCGAATAAAATAAACTGCCGCAGTATATTTTACGACGCTCTAGCTACGATGGCTGCAGACTGGAAGGACGCCGCCATCAGTGACATGCTCACGATGACGAGCAAGGCAAATTTATCGCGGCGCTTCTCCAACGTGATCATCGGACTTCATTCGGCAGCGGCGTTTTCCTACGGTATTGGCGTGCTCGTATCCAATCCCGACAATTACGACGGTGATGGAGTTGAAACGCCCGTTCGTGAGTTCACGCTGAAGCTACAACTCCCGTTCGAGTGCAACGAGTCGCCGCGGTACGAGGTCGTTATGTGTCTGGAATTTCTTCATCAACTGGCATCTTCCGCCATGACCGGCATACTGAACTCTCTGATCATCTCGTTAGTGAGTGCAACCTGCAAAAAAAGTCTCTTTTTAAATTTTTATTTTTTATCCTTAGTTTCACAGAGAACTATATAATGCTATAATATTTTAAAATACATTAAAATTGAACATTTGTTTTTATGAATTTTTTCTTATATTAAGGTCCCAAAGTATTTTTCACATATGTTACACTTCGTGTTTTATATTAATAATCGGGGGAGATGGGGATCCTTCGTACACGGGGCACATACATACATTCAGTAATTCGGAAAGAATCGCGCAGATTCGGAACACGTCTATATATATTTAGTTAGTCTTATTGCGCGGCCATATGCTAGTAAAATTTCATATTAATCGGATTACGTAAACTAACAGAGCAGGATATTACATGTTTTAGCGCTGTCTGAGTAAATTTTCCAAAGTATTTGACAAGTAATTTAAGATATCTTTGATTAAGGTTATAAACAAGAACAATATTTTTCTAGTAAGTAAAATGTCATAAAATTATACTTTAATCATTTATAATGTAATCGTATTGTTAGTGAATTCTATAAAAAATAGCGTAATTATTTTTTTTTGAATTTGGGGTAAATTTGTACACATGCATGAGGGCATCTTTCGTATATGTATATATTATTTTGTTACTTAATTTAAAAAATTATTTTAAGCGTTTGAATTTTGATCTCAACGTTGATTTAAATACTGATTCAAAGAAATTTATTTTATTAAGTTTATTTTATTGCATAAGTTTATAAAAAATGTTTAATTACTTACTACAATTACCTACGACAAGATTGTTTTTATTTAAATTTTAATTGTCAATAAATATTTAGAATAATAATTTTAATGTTTTATGTTTATATCCGAAGCTATCTCATGCGTATATAGGTACTCTATTATATGTACAAAGCTACTCCGCCTGAGGGGTAGAGTCGTATGATTTTCAAGTTTTGTAAAAATCATCTGCGTTCAGTTATATATTAATTTATTATTTTAATTGCACGTTTTTATTGTAGCTGGATATGTATACTATTTATTGATACAAACTTAAGTAGTGTAAAAGCATTTAACACAGTTTGGGAAGCAAAACTTCCAAAAGCGTACGAAGGATCCTCATCTTCCCCTATAATAAGAATAACTTATTTTTTATAGTACTCAGTTAGCAATTGTTATCTTCGATAATGTGAAATCTCTTTATACATCACGTACTTTTATAGAATATGTGCTTTCAGATCCTTCATACAAGCGGCCAAATAGATATTTTATGTGATGCATTGAGAGATATCTCTTCCGAAAAGAAGAATCAACGTTTTGCTGTCTCCATTATGAAGGAACTGATTGGCAAGCATCAAAAAATTATCATCTTTTCGGATAAAATTGAAAGCATTTTCTGTTACATAGCACTAATCCAATTCTTGTCAAGCACATTGGTGATCTGTTGCTTAGGGTTCATGATTGTAACAGTAAGTAATAATTATTTGAAAAAATCGATGAGAAATGATTTGTGCCTCGCAGCGGTAGCGATCTATATAGCAGTTCGATGTTGCAGTCGATCAACACGCAAGACTCCGATACGATCGATAGCTCGGCATTAATGAAAGCTATTGTGTTTTACATGGCCGCTACGGTAGAGGCGTTTATCTTTTGCTTTTGCGGAGAATATCTCAGTGCCAAGGTCGGAACGCAAATCAAGACTCTTACGCTTGTTTCGCATTGTAGGTCAATTTACGCGATTTGCCCATTTTTTTTTGGCGATTTTAAACGGCATTTTCATCGTTAAGAAAGCACGACTTTAAACAAGAAGTTAAATCCTTTTTTTTCTTTTAATGTGAATGCGTTGCAATGCGCTCCTAATATGATAATATTACGTGTCATATATAAATTTCTTTAAAAAAGTCTAGTTTTTATGTAATCAAATAATGGTTATTTAAATGTCTGTTACTTATATTACTTAATTCATAATTATTTAAATTAATATCAATGATTCTGTAATTATTTAGAGAGTACAGAACGTACTTTATTAATAATTCTATTATATGATAAATTATTCTTTTGTACTGTACGTTATAAAAAATACTTTTGAACTGTTGTTTTTTTTATAGTATAAATGAAGTTTTGTTGATTTAGTCATTTATTTCACTGACAATACGACATTTTTGCGACACTTTTTTAGAGCAAAATGATCGGCGATGCGGCGTACAATTCAAACTGGTACGACTTCAAACCTAACGAAAGCAAGCTCGTCCTGTTTATAATATTGAGATCACAAAGAAGGCTTACCATTACGGCTGGAAAGATCATGGACCTGTCACTAGAAGGATTCACGAGTGTAAGATTCCAATACTTTTTTTCTATTTATAAGATCCTCATTCTGATGGATCAACAAATGTTATTTCAAACGATCGCAATATAATTTAATCACTAAATGATTTTAGAAAACAGTTTTTTAATTGAGATATACGTCTATTTTCATAGAAACATTTAATTTATATGTAAACAATTCATTAATTTTTAATTAATTTTTTCATTATACTATTATTTTATATAATTTTTTTAGATTATAAAGGCCTCTGTTTCGTACATATCAATATTACACGCGATGTATTGAAGTTCGAAGAGAAGCTATTTTGTTTAGATGCCCATTAGGTGCAGCTAAAAATATTATTAGGAATTTTTTTTAATGGTTCTTGTCGGTATCTATGATAAATCGACAATAATTATGCAAATTAAATGTAGACAATATGCGATGTATTAATTTACTTTTCGCAATTGATAATAAAACTTTTAGGTTTTCGAGATTGTTATAATTGCACCCCAGTGAGAAATGGTTTTCAATTTGATGTCGAAATTATATCCACGTCAATTCGACATCGATTCGACATCGAATTGGCGATCATTTCTCACTGGGACATATATATTTAAACCTAAACATTTTCTTTATATGTCATATAAAAAGAATGATTCAATCATTTATACTATACTTTTGTTATATGTTGCAAGAGTGCGAGATTTGTGCACGATTTCAATCGATATCATTATCAATATTGCATGATGGTTACATTGTTCATAACAGTGTCTACATATTATACATATATGTTTAAAATATGACATTCTCAGCTGCCATTTGAACATGGAATTGGTTTGTTCTGATTGCATTTGAATTATGTATGAGAAAAAATATTGAAAATGGGTAACAATTAAGAAGATGCGTTTTCCTCATATCGTGTATGAGTAAAAAATGGGTAATAATTGAAATTACTGTAAAAAATGAAAGGTTGGTGAAAACTTGGAAGGTTGCCATGTGCGTCAGCGAAAACAACTGTAATCTCAAAGACCTGTCATGCGTCGGTTAGCCTTCATTAACGATGACGATATTATGTGTAACTTAATTTAATGGACACTAATTCATGAATTTCAACAGATGAAATTGAGAAGTTAAACATTAATAGATTGATCGCATTTTTGCATTTAAAGGAGATTTGATACAATCTAAATCTTGATGTTTAATTCTATATTTTGAATAAAATGGATGATCTGTACAATTAATTCCTTGCTGAGGCGTGAGGATTAAAGTACCAATGTTTTGGTACTTTAAAATTTTTAATCAATGAGTGATGAAAAATGAATTTTATACAACAGTTTAATTAAAAATAAAATTGGAAAAAAGAAATAAATCCATGTCAAAATCTGGTTTGCACCTTCAAAAGTACTATCTGTTTGATGAAATTTTAAGGAAGTAATTCTTTTTGTACTGTATTTTATTGGCAAAATGATTCATCTTTAAGTACTGTTAAAGTTGGATAATTTGCAGAAAACAATTCAGGAGAAACATCCGATGTTTATCAATTGGAAGGGCATTATAATGCGGACTTGACTGTTTGACGTAAATCTAGCGTAAACTTTGAGAGCCAGAGAGCTGAGTTGGGATTTTCTATTGCACTGTCTGTATTTTCCTAATATTGCACTATCAGATTATCACATTTGCTGATTATTCACACTTAAAATAAGATAATTTCCCATCTTTCGAGGCCTTAGAAAATTATATTTCGAAGTTCTTCGACGAGAAATCGCGCACTATTCTATGACTATAGCATTCATATGCTGCTTAAACATTCGAAAAAGATGGAAATTATTTGGTTGATTAAATAAGTACTTTTGTATGGCAGACAGCTGACTTTTAAAAAACCAGACACAAACTTTTTGCACTTCCCACAATACATTTTTTAAATTTAATATTGTTTTATGTTTTTAAGTGAAAATTTGCAATGAAAATTTTTATATTTTTAAGTGAAAATAATTTTTGACGCAGAAAGAAAGGCGCCCACATAAATACGACCGTACAACATATCGTCCGTTACATTTTTGCTTAACTTTTTCTCGATGTACATTTAATGTCTTTCTTAAGAGAGCCGCTATTCTAGAACCGCGCGTGCTCTCGCGCAGCGTAAAGCGCAAAAGCCGTATCTCCTGCATTTTTCAGGCAATAATTTGTCTCATCAGCGACATTTTTTTTACAACAGAATAAGACGATCATTATATGGTACACCGCGGTCGTCGTGCATCGTGATCATAGCTCGATCGTTGCAATTTTAATCCCCTCAGTTTCATGTAAACCACGTAACTTTTGTTTTCAGTTGGTTGCAATTGATCGGTGATTACCTCGCTACGACTGCGTTTAGTCGGCGAACCTTGCGTGATCAACTTGCCGCTCTACAGTCGTTTTAAAATCGTACGCAGCCTATTGGCATTGTGATTCGTGACTTTACGACGTTACGAATTTTCAACAAGTGCTCCAAGTTATAATTTCGGATATCGCAAATGTCGAATTCCTGGCCATATCTTACCTAATAATGAATATAAATTTGAAATACTAATATTGATATATTTTGATATAAAAAAATTGTAAGATGTCACAAGGTGATAAAATGACGGATACAAACATTGTCGCTCTTTCGGTGCAAATCGGTCTTCGAAGTATCGGGTTTTGGCCTAATACACCGTGCGCCCTGTTGTTTCGGGTTTTTTGGATATTGACCATCGGCATAGTGCAGACTTTCCAGTATTGGTGGTTTATTATCCACTTCAGAACCGAAGATATGTCGTACTTGATGGATGGTTTAAGTGTCACCATAGAATACAGCGTGATGTCCCTGAAACTGATTATTTTATGGTTGAATAGTCGGTAAGATAATAATTTTCACGCAGGCGAAGATGGAAACCGAGTTTGCTTAGATCTCTGAAAGCCACAATTCTCACAGCATTATTTTTTCTTTTTTAATTCAAGATCTTATGTGTCCTCTTCTATCTATTCTTCAATAAAAGTCTGATTTAAAATCTATAAAAAAGGAGATATATATTGTATAATTTACAATTACAGATTACAGATTTTAATACGACTGTCTTTATATAGTTTGTTAATTAGTTAATTTAGACATATGCAAACATCGCCATTTTATTGCAATAATATTTATTGAAGCTACATTTTCCACTACATTTCGTCGTTATATTTTATATATCACTGCACGATCAGACTTGTTCCTTTCCCGGAACTCATCCTTTTCCGTCTTATTGTGTTCCCATCTCATCGCGAATTGTTTATCCATACACCTGGATAGAGTAAACTGCCGCAGTATATTTTACGACGTCCTAGCTGCGATGGCTGCAGACTGGAGGGAAGCCGCCAACAGTGAAATGCACACCATGATGGGCAAGGCAAATCTATCGCGGCGTTTCTCCAACGTGATCATCGGGCTTCATTCGGTGGCGGTGTGTTGCTTCGGCATTGAGGTGCTTGCATCCAATACCGACGATTACGATGTCGATGGAATCGAGACGCCCATTCGCGCGTTCACGTTGAAGCTACAGCTCCCGTCGCAGTGCAACGAGTCGCCGCTGTACGAGGTCGTAATGTGTCTGGAGTTTCTTCATCAATTGGCATCTTCCATTGCGTCCGGCACACTTAATTGTCTGCTCATCACGTTAGTGAGTGCAATCTCTACGAAAAAAAATTAGCTTTCGATATCATTCGACTATATTTATCTGTTAGCATTATGATACACAGTTCACATAATAAAAGATAGGCAAAAATATAGAACATTCGATTATATCGATATGCGATATCAATATTTATGTCGATCTTCACGAGTAAAAAAATATTAATTTTTTTTGCTCTTATTTCCTTATTATAATTAAATTTAACATGAGAAAATATTTTAATAATTTTCAAAATCTTAATTAATAAAAGGGATTCACTGTTCTTTGTCAACATGTAAGATGTAATTACCAGCAAATTATCTAAAACTAATAGACAAATTAATTTTATAATTTATAAATCGCATTTTCTATTTATTGTTAGATGCGCCTCACAAAGACGATAAAAATGTTTCAAAATAAGTTGAAATCGAATATGAAATTTTCTTCTTACTTTAAAATTTTTAATAAAATATTTTTTGTATGTTATATTTGTCTTGTGTAATAATATACATATAAATTTATTTTATGTCACGTAATCAGCAATTGTTATCTTCGATAGTAAAATCTCTTTCTATTTATGTCACATGATTTTAAAGAATATACATTTTCAGGTTCTTCATGCGAGCGGTCAGATAGAGATTTTGTGTGACGCATTGAGAGATATCTCTCTCAAAAAGAACAATCAACAGCTAGCTTTCTCTATGAAGGAACTGATCGGCAAGCACCAGAAAATCATCATCTTTTCGGATAAAATCGAAAGAATCTTCTCCTATATAGCGTTAATTCAATTCATGTCGAGCACATTGCTGACCTGCTGCGTAGGATTCACGGTTATATCAGTAAGTAATAATTCGTTAAAAATAGAGGATACAAAACAACATCGTACGTTTTGCAGCAATGGCGATCTATATCGCGATTCGATGTTGCAGTCGATCAGCACGGTGCAAGGCTCGGATACGATCGATAGTGCGGCGTTAATAAAAGCTGTAGTATTTTACATGGCCGCTACGGTGGAGGCGTTTATCTTCTGCTTTTGCGGAGAGTATCTCAGTGCCAAGGTCGGAACAATCAAGATCTTTACGCTTGATTCGTATTGTAGAGATGTCCATTTACACAATTCGGCTATACATTGTTTGGTGGTTTTAAATAACGGCAATTACATTTTTATTATGGATAACGCACAACTGTTTGAACGAAAAGTTAAATTCTTTTTCCTTTTCTTTTCGATATGAAAAGAAAAATCTAAAAATTTCTATACTGTTCAATGCGAATGTATTGCAATGCCCTTATAATAATTAAACAGTTTTACATAATATACGTGTATATTGTGTCATATATACGAGCTAAAGAGAAAGTCCCGTTTTTACGTATTAAATAATAATAATTACTACTTAAATAAAGATTAATTAACTAATTTTTATTTGTATCATATTTAAATGATCACAATTATTTAAATCAATGTCAACAATACCACAAACAACAATGACACAATACCGTGATTATTTTGGCGAGGACGCATCTTTAATTGAAGCACATGATTTTTGTATCGAGCTATGTCTGAATTGTTTTTTTTTTTTATAGTATAAACGAAGTTTTTATGTCGATTTAGTCATTTATCTCACTGACAACACGACATTTTTGCGACACTCTTCTTCAGAGCAAAATGATCGGCGATGCGGCGTACAAATCAATCTGGTACGACTTTAAACCCAATGAGAGCAAGTTCATCCTGCTTATAATATTGAGATCTCAAAGAAGGCTTACCATTACGGCCGGAAAGATCATGGACCTGTCACTAGAGGCGTTCACGACTGTAAGATTCCAACACTAAATTTTCTGTTAATAAAATTCTCATCTTGATGAATCAACCATTGGCGCCATTCTGAATGATCGCGATTCATTTTAGTTACTAAGTAATTTTACAAGACGATTTTTTGATTAATACATGTCCACATTTTTATTGAAACGTTTGGTTTATATTTAAACAATGTATTTAATTTATTTATTTATGAATTTGTTTTTTTTTTGTATTTTTTCATTGTGTTATATATTATTTGATACAATTTTTCTAGATTATTAAGGCTTCGGTTTCGTACGTGTCAGTATTGCACGCGATATACTGAAGTTCGAAGATGGCCATTATGTGCTGCTAAAGATGACTTCTTTTTATCGGTTCTTTTGCTTGTTGATAATATTTATGATGAATCGAGAATCATTATGGAAATTAAATGTAGACGTAATGTATCAATTTACCTTCCGCAGTTTATAATAAAGTATTTAGATTTTCATGATCGCTACTTGCATATACATAAATATATTCGAACCCATAGATTTTCTTTTATACAGCTTTATATAAAAAAGTAATTCGTTCTTTTTATACATTAACATATTCTTTCTGTTATGTATATTTTTAAATAACAATAATCTTGGATCTAGAAGAAAAACATTTTATACCGTACAACGTATCGCCCGTTGCATTTTTGTTTATCTTCACTTTGACGTTCGTGTTTTACGTTTCATATTTAATTTTTTGCCTTCTGAGCGAGCGCCGAGCAATCTTCAGAAAGCTTTATGCATCTTTAAAGTAAATGACTCGGCAAACTAGCGACTCTATCGTCGGAAAACTCGACGTTTTTAAGTTGAAGAGAAAAAAGAGCCCGAGACGCGCGCGGGACTGCTTTTTCTACACATTTTTCCTCCCAAGTCTATAATCTAGCAAATTGGCGAGCATCCAATTTTGCGATTTCATTCGCCATTTCTGCGAACTATGGGTATAAATTACGATTGATCGTAATTATCGTACAGTTCATTATCGTGTCTTATCCTTCTCCCCCTCCCCCTCCACCCTTCTCGATTTTCTGCTATATCCGTTGTTATTGCGCCGAGGAGATTTACACGGCTTTCGGATAGTCTCTCTCTCACGAGAAATATGCTCGAGTTAGGCAAAGGTACGATAGGACGCGCGAGCACCATCAGCGAGTCGGTCGAAGCGGGCCTGCGTTTTATCGGAATGTGGCCGCGTTGCGTGTACGCGAATGTCAACTGGTGGGTCTATATTGTGTCGGTGGCGATTGTGCAATACTTTCAATATTCATACATCGTGGCGCACTTTGACATCAACGATCTCTCGGTTTTCGTGGACGGTCTAAGCATCACACTGGGCTACAGCCTGTCGTTCCTCAAACTGATCAATCTCTGGTTCAATCGTCGGTAAGATTACGCTTAAATTTGTGCCGTAGATTTCAAGATTACGTCTACACGGATTATTTACGTGAAATCTACGTGATGTTTACATGATCTTTTTGCTACATAAACAATCTAGACTTGTAAACTATCTAGAATATTGTAAATTGTATCACTAATATATACAATATAAAAAAATTAAATTATAAAACAGTCTCTACCCACGGTAGAAATGTATCACAGTCCAAAATGTATCTAAGAACAGATTAAAGATACCACGACATCTTTAGGATATTCTTGATGTATTTTGAACATTAAATTTAACTACGATGTTAAGATTAAGAATGTAACCAGAGAATTTTTCTTACTCAAATGATAGTTTTTTTTTACATAAACGTTAAATTATATGTATTTATTAAATAAATAAATATATAGTCTACTGACTCTACATAGATGACACTTACATAATAATTTACGTTGTTTACACGTAAACGTAGAGTATTATATTTTACGTGTAGATGCACAATCCTGCGCTTAATGATCTCTATGGCCGGTATTCATAGTCGATTCTTATATATTTAAGATCGTCTTAAGTACAATCTTAAGATGTCAATTAAGAGCCAATCACAGAGCGGTATTAGTATCGATCTTAAGACATTACTTAAGATGATCTTCAAATAAGAATTGATTATGAATACCGGCTTACGAAGACAAGGGCGAGCGATCGACCGTGCTCTTTATTTTTCTTTTCAATTCCATTTCTATCCCACGCGAACGATACCGGATGTAAGAAATATTCCGTAGAAAGTTGTACACCATTCTGGATACGATGGACAAAGACTGGAGCGACGGGAGCGCGGTCCATTCGGACGTATCCACGATGATCAGACACGCCAACTTGTCTCGTCAGTGTTCCAACGTAATGATCACCACGAATGCATTAGCCGTGTTTTTTTACGTGATCGGCGGTCCGATACTCCGCTCGATGATTCAAAAGAACGATCGCGAAAGTTCGACCCGCGAGCTGCCCATCAAGATGGAATTCCCTTTTAAGATCGATAATTCTCCGATATTTGAGCTGATATTGATAGCCCAATTCTTTCATGATTTGTCGGTAGCCTGTATCATCGCTATGTTGAACGCTTTGCTCGTTACGCTGGTAAGTAATTGAATGTAATTCGAAAGCGATCTAGTAAGTTCAAAGATTATCAAAATTAATTTTGATAAATTTATAGAAAACATAAATAATTGTTTTTGTATTACAACTTGCATATAATATAAAAGAGATGCATATGTATGTACATACATACAATATTTTTTCTTATGTGATATATAATTTTTACTTGAAAACTTGATATAAAAAAAATGTAAAAAATTCGATTAGATTTATTGGGAAATTTATTTTGCTAGTTTTATAACACCGGTGAGAGTTTATGTTATTTTTACTTGTATATCACGATTTTATAGACTATTGTTAGTCCTTTTAGTGACATTGGAATCTTGTGTTTCGACGAATATCACAATCCTTTATTTTTAAATACAATTTCGTGTGTGTAACTTTTCAGATTTTTTGCGGAGATAACGATGCTGCTCTAAAGTATCTGTAAAACTGAAGATATTTTTTAGGTACTACACGTAAGTGGGCAAATTGATATTATGCGGCAAGGTTTTGTGGAAATTTCGTCTAAGAAGCATACGTCAAGATCTTCTTTGGCTGTTATTAAAGATTTAGTTAACAGACATCAGAGAATCATCGATTTATCAGACAATATCGAAGATCTTTTCTCAAACATCGCGTTGCTGCAGTTCATCTGGAATACTTTGGTCATCTGTTGCATAGGCTTTGTCATCGTAATAGTAAGTTATTACATTTTTTTGTGTATAATTCTCTCTTTCTCTCTTTTTTTTTTATGTATCTACCTTTTGCGATTGACTTGAGGCATTATTTCCAGTAAGATGCACAAATTGATGCTTGAATGTATATTAATTGTGTACACATTGCAGTCTATCGGCACGGAGGAAGGCGCTACGATGATAACAAAGTCCCTCATCTTTTACGTCGCGATAACTCTCGAGGCGTTCGTATTTTGCTACGCCGGGGAATATCTCAGCGCCAAGGTCAGCGTAAGGGAGCGTAACGGTAGCGGTCGTAGAGTTCTTGAATTTAACTCCGCGTTAATTCCCGAGAGAAGCTTAATTAGACGCGATTAATCGTGGGGGTTCGTTTCGTCCATTGCAGAGTAAATCCATCAGCGACGCTGCGTACGAGTGCCTCTGGTACGAGCTGACGCCCAGCGAGTGCCGGGTCTTGATGTTCCTCATGCTGCGATCGCAGAAACGATTGACCATCACCGCGGGCAAGATAACTGATCTGTCCTTGGAAGGTTTCACGACCGTGAGTTCACTTGAACTTCCATCCGGAAGCTTTCGTCGTTCACAAACTAGGGCTGAAACAAAAATTTTAATACGCTTTATTGCTCCAGATTATGAAATCGTCCGCGTCGTACATATCCGTGTTGAGTGCATTATATTAAAGAAGAATGAAAAGTTGCATTTGGATATAAGTGAGTACTCTAGTACTATAGAGTACACACTAAATTGGATTTGCCCCTACGGTAATAACAAATGGATATTTTATAAAGAAAAGGACATTGTGACTTCTATGTGACGGGAATAGTTTTAGCCAAATGTTTGATTCCGTTGAGCGGAGCATATGTTGATACATACATATACATATATTAGTATAAAAAAATTTTGCAAAAAACATTTTGTGTCTTACCACGTATTTTGCAGAGGTCTAATTTTTAAATAATACAATTTAAAGTTCTATTTACATGCGAAGAGTGATGTTACTTACTCATAAAATGTTATCTTTGAATAATCCAGCTTTCCGCGCGCATATCGTGCACCGAATGTTCTCCACTTTCCCCTTCCACATCTTTATTTTCTGCCAGCAAGTAAACATTAACATCTCTTTTTTTTTTCGAAAACGTGCAGCTTTTTTTCTGTTGAATATAGAGACGTTTGTTAGAAATGATTCTCTTCGAGTTTAGAAATTTTTATTTCTTCGGTAATTATCGAGCAATATTGCATGAGCTATTACAGGAGGAGAGAGTAGACAGGTTTTGTTTTTTATTCGGTGTACTTATAAGCTCTCAAGAAATAATGGGATCGGAATAATAGTCTCGGCGTGTAATTACGATTGATCGAGGGAGGACCTGCGCTTTATCGTCTCTCTCCCCACGATTATTCGGAGAGAGCGACGTTCGCATTGCGCGTTTTACCGGACGAAGTTTTACTGGACGTCCGCCACGGTGCATTGACATCTCGATAGCCGTCGGTTCGTAACGTTCGGGCGATTGAAGTCGTGTAGGACGATGAAGCGCACAAGTACCATCAGCCTCCCGGTCGAGATCGGTCTCCGTTTCATCGGCATGTGGCCTGATTCGGCTTACGCGACCCTCTATTGGTTAATTTACATGGCGACGATGGTGATAGTGCAGTATTATCAGTACACGTATGTTCTTACGCATTTTGACCTAAGCGATATCTCGCTCCTCATGGACTGTCTCGGTCTTACCCTGGCGTACACACTCGCCTTCCTCAAGCTCTTTGCCTTATGGTGGAATCGCCGGTAAGACGTGTTTCGTTGCAGATATAACTCAAAACAATAATACCGATCGGGACGATAGAGCTATGTTATCACTGAATAATTTCGACGAAAAACGAATGAAGATAAAAATTAATTTATTATTAATATCATGTCTAAATGAAATCAAATACTTAAATGTTTCTTTTGTCCGTTTTTCCGTAAAGAAACTTAATTAATACGTACAATACTCGATATATAAGCTGCTTCCTGCAGGACATTTTATTATATTGTAAAGGCGATGGATCAAGATTGGAAAGAGTGCGTTATCAATGACTCGTACGAGTCCACGATGATGAGCGTGGCGGATCTGTCGCGCCGTTGCACCAACGTGATGATCAGTATCAACGCTTTAGCTGCCTTTTTCCTTTCAATCGGCGAGCACTTGCTGCAGTCGATGGGCGATGTCGATGGAGTTGACAATAATTCTCGAGAACTCCCTATAAAGATGGAGTTCCCTTTCGACGTCAGCGAATCCCCGGTTTTCGAGTGCTTTTTGGTCGGGCAATTCCTTTACGAATTGGTGCTGGCTTCTATAGTTGGTATGATGAATGCGTTACTCGTCTCATTGGTGAGTTCGTGATGACTCTGCAAAGCGTAGCTTTTTATATACAATAATTAATATATGTATTTTTCCTTTATCTTATTTAATGTTTACAATTATAAAAGTATCCTGTGTGTGAACAATTGATCTTACAATCTAACAATTACAATTGATTCGCAATCTAATTAATAATAAAATACTTTGCACTTTAATATTTTTTAATTGTTCTATATATATATATATATATATATATATTTAATTGTTTTGTATTTATAGATACTTCACGTAAGTGGTCAGATTGACATTATGCGACAAGATATAAATGACATTTCCAACAGCAAATACGATTCCAGCGCATCCTTGGTTATTATCAAAAGTCTAATTTGCAAGCACCAGAAGATTATTACTCTATCGGAACACATCGAAAACTTGTATACATATATCGCATTAATGCAACTCCTATGGAACACTTTGGTCATCTGCTGCACTGGTTTTGTGATTGTGATTGTGAGTAATGGTTGTGGCTGTTGTTCCGCGCCATCAATAAAGAATATTTCTTTCTTGTTCCATTGCAGACCATTGGTACCAGCGACAGTGGGACAACTTCAATGATCAAATCTGTGAGTTTTTACATTGCAATTACTCTAGAAGTTTTCATACTCTGCTTTGCCGGAGAATTTTTGAGCGCCAAGGTTCGTGCAGAACTTCATATATTGATAATAATTATCGATATTAATTATCCTTTTTATTATATTTTTTAATAAATGATTTAATTTTTGATATGTTTCACCGATAAAAAATGCTTTTGAGATTGTCGATTGTTTGTCTCTATTGTTTTCCGAATTGAATTTATCCTGTCATTAGAGTAGGTCAATTAGCGATGCGGTGTATGAGACACTTTGGTACGATATGCCAACGACAAATAGCCGCATTTTATTGTTTGTGATATTAAGATCGCAGAAACGATTGACGATAACTGCAGGAAAAGTCGTTGATTTAACTTTGGAAGGATTTACAAGCGTAAGACATTACCTTATAAATACTACATTCTTTGACATGCTGGATTAGCTATTTCTTAGTTTGTACGAATTTTTAGATTATGAAGGCATCAGCTTCTTATGTATCTGTGCTAAATGCGATGTACTAAGTGCCGAATGACGTTTGTCAATCACATGTGCATTTTCACTGTTGCCTTAGCAACAATAATTTTTGTCAGGCAATTGTTATTCTTGGCCAAATAAAATTATTGTAAGTTACAAGAGAAGAGATAAAATTACTTCAGCATACACTATCTTTTATGAGTTTAGTGGACAATTATTTTCCTACGCAAAATACTTTTCTATAAAATGTCAATTTTTTTATGTCTCAAATTTTATATTATAATTTCCAATATATCGTTAATAAAAATATTTCAGATCTAGGAAAGAAGGTATACTTTAGCATGCACTTTATAATAAAAACTTTATTGACTTTTTCACACTTACATATATGTTTATAAACTTTTTGCTTCAAAGTTTAGTCGCTGCACTTATCTCGAAAAAATTCTCAAATTACATATTTTTTATTATTAATGTAAATATTTAATTATTGTGTAAATAATACATATTGTATTTTTGTATTATTGTGATTATCTTCTTTACTATTTAATTTTTTTATCGTAAACATAAAGTTTTATGCGCATATTTGTGATAGACATGTACATTGTATATTAAAACATTTACTTGCGTTGCATTTTTAAAAGAATTATTTGATATCGTTCCCTTTTAATCCTTAAATAAATTGAAAGTAACGCGCGTGTCTTTTCTCTCACAGTCAGTTTCGTGCAATAATCTATCTATCGAAAGCTTTCTGTATTCTTTTTTGCTGCTGACTAAATGTTTATTTGAAAATTAGCGATAAAAGTGGTGCAGCTTATACGGTTGGAACAAATTACATTTTCACATCACAGTCTATTAGTAATCTATCAGAAAAATACGCCAGCGAAATTATTTTCTTCATTATTTTTTTCACCGCTGTAACTTTGGAGGCTTTTATCTTTGCTTGAAATAGAAGCACGGTACGTGGAGGAAAAAGCAAGGTGAATTAAAGGAATTAGTATACTATGAACATATTTAATAACTATAAAAAAAATAGCTAACTTCATCTTTCGTGTCTTGCAGACGTCAACGTCCGAGACTTTACGTATATTTTTGTTTCTAATGGATATAGATGGACATAAAGCTGTCCCTCGGGATAGAAACAGACAGTACTAAAGCAATTACCTGCCATTGTGTACTACCAAAGTGATCACTAATTCAGAGGAGAAATGAACATAATAGCATTTTTTCCCCTAACCGTTAGAGCTATAAGCTTGCGTTACAGCTATTACCTATTGCGACGAAAACGTCTAAGTCGTCTAAGATATAATTATGATTGATTCACGTTCGGAGTAGCTTGTGTTTTACAGAGACTTTCCGCTGCGATTATTTAGTGCTTTAACCATCATGCGGAGCATGTTGAACGACGTGCACATGCTTATCGCGCGCTAACGTCTCCGTGGTCGTTGATATTTTAACGTTCGGCAGTTGACAAGGAACGATGACGCGTGCGAATACTATTAGCCTCACAGTCGAGATCGGCCTCCGTTTCATCGGCATGTGGCCGGACTCGGCGTATCCGAATCTCTACTGGTTCAGCTATATGGCATCGGTAGCAATAGTGCAATATTATCAGTACGCGTACATACTCACGCACTTCGACTTGAACGATCTTTGGCTACTCATGGACTGTCTCAGTCTCACCCTGGCGTACAGCCTCGCCTTTCTCAAGCTCCTTGTTTTGTGGTGGAATCGTCGGTAAGATACGTCTTTTTGCGAGAATAATATAGAATGTGTCTATATTTAATGCCAACATAACTAACATTATAATAATCTCGACGAGGCAA